TAAAAATTGAAAGCGAAATGTCTACTTACTTAGAAAGTCGCCTTTAAAGTATTATTAAAATATGTGTTGTTAAATTTATATTTATATTAAGGTAAATATATTCATTCATTTAAGTTACTTATTATTGGCGTACATGTACAGTTAATGTATATTACATTGAGATGAGTATGATGGCACATTATATCAATCCAATTATATCAATAATTTAAGATGGAGACGCCACTATGTGCTTATTTTAACTCAAATATGAGTTAACGATGAGTGGCGCGATCTTGTAGTATTGTTAGTGACTAAGGCCGACATATTCCTTAGACTTTTTGTTAATAGCCCCATACAGCCAACTGAAACTAAATTTTATATTGGAATTGGAATCTGAACCACATTTTTTCCTTGTAATTAGTTCAGGTTTACCTGGTTAAAGTTCAAATTTTTATCAATATCAATTTAACTGAAAAGCTTATAATTGAATAATATAAGTAAACAGTTATAGAAAAATTGTCTTAACATTTGAGATAAAAGGAGTAGTTAAGACAAATGACTTGAAAGATCACGTGTTTTTCAACGTGAAATAATTGAATAGTTTTTCACGTGACTAATCGAGCCGTTACTTTTGGGTAACAACTTCGTAATATGATATAATTAAGACTGGACAACTTTTCTTTAAAAGAATTTGAATTAAATTCATACAAAAATGCTACTGGTGTAGACACAAGCAGAAAAAAATACGAGACAACAAATTACAGATTCAGTCAAATTAAGCCAAGAATTGGAAAGAGATTATGGCAGTTTAAGATTTATTGTAATACAACGAGGGGTTTCCCAGGAAAATTAATAAAAATTAAACTGTATATTTTAGATTTTTCTTGTTAGCTAAATTAAAAGATATATTTGGGCTTAAAAACCATCATGACACTGAATGAAAACCACGAATCAGTATTATTTTTTTTAGCATATGTTTTATTGTTGATAATTTAAACTTTAACATTTATTGTTCTATATTTAATCTCTATAATATTTAATTTCTTAACATAGCCTCAAAGTCAACAACACTCCCCAGTTTCTCAAGAGATCATTCTAAAGACTCAATGAATATGATCTAAAAACATTCAATATCAATAAAAAATAACTAGATTAAAAATACAGTGGATCCACGTAAATTAGTTGTAGTTGTAAATAAAGAAGGACATCCCATAGCCATAACGGTGAATAAGTATTAAATTACTGGAAAAAATCTATATCGGAATAACTGTGAGGAGGGGTGGCCAAAGAAGAATAGTCCTAAAGTAAATGGTAAAGATTTTGTTGCTTTATTAATCGCACAATGTTTTGAACCGAAAGTGTTATCCAAGCTGAGAAAATTAGTCTCACTCTAACCATAATATTAGCCTCAAGTATCGTCAAGATAAAATAGATCACGATAGGGCGATCTAGTAATTGATGTATCATAGTTAAAAGAAGCAGTAAAATATTTTAGTTAATACATAATAAATGTACGTAAGACATTGACTTAACAATTTTATTTAAATATGTTATATGACTCATCAATATTGTATTATATTGTCTATAGGATCTCAAAACAATTTATCGTCATATACATTTACCCCAGACAGTTCCAGCAATTCAGTCTAATCTCGTTCTCACAGACCTTGTTTCAATCTTCCCTAATTCATTCAATCTGGAAGCTGTTCATCAACAGCTGTATCAAGTGTTAATCACTTAGTGTTTCAACAAAGCTACAATACGTAATCTCGGGATTGAATGAATGTGATTGTTTGGTAATTTGGAAACAAATAGGTGTACGTACAATTATGTCGTTTCTAAATTAGTTGTATTTTGAATATGGCTTGATAAGTTATAGTAACGAACATGTTTTTGACATAGTAAACACTTTTGAGTAAAAGGGGAAAACAGTTACTGGGATAATTAACCATTTAAAAAATGTAATGTCGGAATGAGCCGAATTAACCAAGAAATGAATTTCAAATGTGATTGTTAAAACGTTTGATCAAAATGAAATCATATGCAAACAACTACAGTATCCATACGTATATATGGGAGTCGAGTTTTGGAATAGTCTCTTTGCTTCTGAGGATCCTTCAACGAAAAATGTACAGAAGACAAGGACAATCTATTTCTTATATTTGCCATAAAAAATACATATGTACATATGATGAAATTAGTTTATACTTGTTATAAACACATGTTTACATTATTAATTTAAATATGTCTAACTCATTTAAGTCCAGAAACGTAAATAAAATTCAATTTTAGCAACAAAAAAAAACTGTTTAAATTATGAGAGTATTTAAAATTTTGAGAAGAGAAAATTTTGATTTATAGAGGCTATTTAGTTTTATTTGTGTTTTGGCACCATTATTTCTTAACGTTTTTCGTCAGGAAATGGTCTGATTGTTTTTGCTTTATACGTTTTTTGAATAAACGTTTTTTGAATAAACAAAATATCTTACTAAAATTCAAAGTAAGTACATTTTACGCCACACTACACTATTTTGACGAACTTCCCACGCAAGGATTTAGTCCAGAAAACATGTTTGCCGCCAGCTTAATCAAATGTGGTCTCATTGCGTACTACTGTACTGTAATGATTTTTACCGGACACCAATCAGCTGATTATACTGAATTTGGGTGGCAATGAGTACTTATAAACAAAAACCTCTAAGAGAGGTTATGACTAGTGATTTTTAGTCATTTAGTTGGTGGCAATATATAATTTGTAAAGATTTGGATGTACAGATTTTGTAGTATCGCGTAAACCATCGTACGTCACTCATTCAAAATGTGTGTACCGGACTCGTATGGTAATCCCGTGCGAGACGAATTTTCAGGACTAGTAACTTAACGTAATGTACTATTACGCCATACTACACTATTTTGACGAACTTCCCACGCAAGGATTTAGTTCAGAAAATATCTGTTTGCCGTCAGCTTTATCAAATATGGTTTCATTACGTACTACTGTACTGTAATGAGTTTTACCGGACGCCAAACAGCTGATTATATTGTATTTGGCAATGAGTGGTTATAAACAAAAACATTAAGAGGTTATGGCTAGTGATTTTTAGTCCTTTAGTTGGTGGAAATATACAGGGTGTCCCGGAACTCTCTACCAATATTTTAGGACATTGCTCCTGGGTAAGAAACATACCTAAATATCATATTTAAATTGTCCGGAAGTCCTTAGTTACTCACACAGCCACCATTTTGTGTTTTTCAGTTATTAATTTTTGTTGATAGAATGGTTAAACATACGAAACGGAAACTTTGCACAAACATTTATGACAACTAGACAAAGCTACCAAAAAATTATGAAGATTTTTCAAATTCATAAAACAAAATGGCGGCCGTTTAAAATTTTTGTAAAATCAATGGTTTTCGAGTTATTTAAGAAACAAAATTTTAAACGGCCGCCATTTTGTTTTATGAATTTGAAAAATCTTCAAAATTTTTTGGTAGCTTTGTATAGTTGTCATAAATGTTTATGCGAAGTTTCCATTGCGTATGTTTAACCATTCTTTAGAAAAAAATTAATAACTGAAAAAAAAACAAAATGGCGGCTGTGTGAGTAACTAAGGACTTCCGGACAATTTAAATATGATATTTAGGTATGTTTCTTACCCGGGAGCAATGCCCTAATATATTGGTAGAGAGTTCCGGGACACCCTGTATAAGAATCTGTACGGATTTAGTAGTATGGCGTAAACTATTGTACGTAACTCGTCCAAAATGTGTGTACCGGACTCGTATGGTAATCCCGTACTCGACTTACCCGCACGGGAACGACCACACTCGTCCGTTAAACACGTATTTTCAGAACTAGTAACGTAATATACTATTGACAGTTTGGTAAAAGAGCAGAGGTTAGAGGTACAGGTTCTGCTTCTGAGAGATTCAAAAGTTTTAGGATTATGAGAATAGTAGCAACAACATCTGATCAGTTAAAGAGGGTTTGGATATGTATTAACATAAAAAAAACGTTTGGATATAAAATAGATTTCACATCGAAGACTAAAAAGTAGAAAATAATTTATAAATAAAAACAACTATTTAAAATAACACATTTTTAAACGAACTAAAAAGTGAGGAATAATTTACAATTATGTGGAAAGAATAAATACTTGTAAGATTTAAAACAAAAAAACGTGGGTGCATGCAATAGATAATAATAGTTCAATTGGTGAAAATAATTATTGTAAATTAGCTATTGCATGAACCCTACGTTTTTTGCTTTACTCTCCATATATTTATAAATTATTTCCTGCTTTTTAGTAATTTTAAAAACGTGGTATTTTACAAAGTTGTTTTTTATTTATGAATGATTTAATTTCCAACAGCTATTTTAGTTAACATAATTTAATATAATAAAATGGATTGTTCACGGAGAAACTTTCAGAACACTTTTTTAGGTTTTAAACCATATCAATTAACCATGGTAAAAAATCAAATAATAAATTGCTGAAATATCACGATTTTCAGTTGAAAAATAAGTTACTTATAGTTACGTCTACTTCAGGGTTGAGTGGCACAGTGCAGCCAGTTCAAGAAATGATTAATTGTATTATAAGATGAGAATTATTTATCCACATAATTTCGCACTTAACTGTTCCACACACAAATCAACTTAAATAGTTTATTTATGAAAATTAAATTGCTTTTATTATAGTAAAACGTTACAAGTCTTCTCTTAAGGGATCAATAAGTTTTAACCAATACGTATTAGAACTTTAAAAATGAGATTCTCTTATAATTTATATTGTGTATTGTTTTGGCTTTATACGATTTGAAAAGGCCCAAAAAGTTGCATTGAAAATTCAAAATAATACAATTTACATGTATAGTAACGATAACTGTTGCACCAGAAATGAGAAAACATGTTGATGTTGCGACTACCAACTAAATTGTTGGATTGGTCGATTACTAACAGGCATGTCAAACTGAAATATGAAGAATGATCTCCTATGAAATTACCATCTGGCATTTAACACATTTTGTAGTTCAGTTTCTAGTCTACTTGTTACACTAGCTTCACAGATACAAGCAAGATGCGGGTGTTGGTGATCTCTGCGATAGTCCTTGCTATCAGCTTAGTTCAGGTAAGGATTTATTTTTTTCTCATTTTCAACTTTATTGTGTGACAATTGGTTGAGAAAGGGATTGTAATTTTCCGTGATGGATTATAATGATTTTGAATTGACTGTGGATGGCTAAAAGGCTAAAGCTTTAGCCACTGGTAAAACAAGTTGTAGATAGTATTATTGTTTCACTAACTCAGCGGGGGATATTATGCTTTTTATTACATGGATAGGAGCTACAGATGAAAAGTTATCTATGTTTACCATTCACGTACCAAAAGTTAAGTGTTATATTTGCTTTCTAAACCTGAAAGTACTTTTATCATAGAAATAAATGCAAATGTATTTTTTTTAGATTCGTACAAGTTTAAAAAAAAATTAAAGTAAGAAAAACCTAATACATAAGTCCACGAAATTGATTTTTATTTATAACCATCAACAGTTAGCAGTTACTGCCGCCAATACCAAACTAACAATAATATTTTCACGATAAAATTGTACTCTTGTAATACATCATACAAGTGAAACTCTCAATATTTGGCTTGCAAAGCGAAAAGGATAATCTGTAATCTTTTTGCAAATTATTTATATACCACTTGTCTTACTATTTTAAAAAATGTTTGAAATATAATATAATCGCATGAGAGATGGGAAATGGAGATAGGCCTAATATATAAAACACATAAAAAAAACTAATTTCGTTTAAAAACACTATTATTATTAAGTGATTTATTTTTTAATTTTATTTGTTTACGTGAAACTTTAACTACGTAATGTCTTTATCTGAGAGTGGTAAAATAGTATATTTCATCACTAAAGCCTAAAGTGGCTCTTTTTAACCCGAGGTCAAGTTTTACGATTGAGGCGAAGCCGAGGTCGGAAAATAAGCGAGAGTTAAAAGTCACTTTTTGCCCGCGTGCTGAACTATATTTTTCGTCATATTGCACCTTCATTTGAACAAACTATGTGACAAAACTTAATCTAGTATCTCTCAAAACTACTTCTAACTTGTTTTCAATTTAATTGTCTAATGGAAACAAGCAGCTGTTTAGTAAGTGATTCACTCGTTTCGTCTATTACGATTGTGTTAGAGTACATTATACCATCGATATGTCAAGCAATCGACAATAATACGCTAAAACCTTACCTAATAAATCAATCGATAAATAATTTCACCTGTCGAAATTATTAACAATCATTATTTGACTGTCGATTGAAATTTACAACAGCTGATTTTTACTCCCTAGAGATTAAAAATTATTTTTGCTCCCTAGAGAGTAAAATTCATTTTTAGTCTCTAGGGAGTAAAAATTAGCTGTTGTAAACAGTTGTAAATTTCGATTGTGGCAATCGTATGAACTGATATTATTTATCGATTGATTTATTAGGTAAGGTTTTAGCCTATTGTTGCCCATTCCTTGACATAAAGATGGTATAATGTACTGTAACACAATATTAACCGACGAAATGATTGATTCACTTACGAAACAGCTGCTTATTCGCATTAGCAGAATTGAAAACAAGTCATTTTGAGAGGTTATCTTTACATAAAAGGATAAAAGTTATTTCGATTTCTAGCTTTGCTTCTAGCTTTTCTTGATTTCTAGCTTTTCGGTTAATTAATGATGCAATATGACGAAAAATATAGTTCACCACACGGGCAAAAATTTACTTTTTAACCCTCGCTCATTTTCCAACCTCGGCCTTCGGATCGTAAAACTTGACCTCGGGTCAAAAAGAGTCACTTTAGGCCCTGGTGTTGTTGTTTCCCCAATAAATAGCAACAATTTTACAACATCTGAATAATAAAGAATGCAAATGTATCCAAGTAGCTAAGTAGAACCATTGACTATTGCTAATACTCAAAGGTATAACTAATATGTCTGCTAGAGTTATATATGGAAAACATATGTATAATCTCTCATTTTAGTACAAACAATTTGTATTTCATTTCGTAAAGAATGTTAGTTCACCGATACCTTTAATTTGATGCACATATAAAAGTATGCTTACGTTTAAGATTCTCATCTTACTCCCTGTGGTCCGTCCCCTATACGTGACTTCCGATCACTATGTATACAGAAAATTAGCTTACTATTACCATTAATAACGTGCCAAATTTGGTTGTGATATCTCTTTTCGTTTCAAAGTTATAAAGTCGTCCTAATACCTAATTGTCGACCTGTATACATGTCCATGTCAAATAAATACACAATTAAACTGTTTTATTGTTACAGGTTTTAGAGGTGACTGAAGCGGCAAGCTCCAGCTTAAAGCGAGAAAATGCCTTTGAACTTATTACAGAATCAGGTATTTTTTCATGTGTGTGTTAAGTTGATACACTAATGCTGCATCGGTCAAATCTTAGAAGAACCTAACGTTGGCCATTTATTACAATTAATACATTGAAATTTGATTTGATAATAAGAGACAGGGAATCAGATTAACTAATAATTCGCTGAACTACTGGCGTAAAAAATCCGTGTACTTTTGAGGAATAAATTTGGCCTAATGGTTGACAAAACTGACTAAAACTTTCTTATTTTCTAAACAAGTTCTAACGGTGAAAGTAACTTATTTTTACAATAATTAAATAGTAGTGGACTAGCAACATAAAATAGAACAATAGTTTCTTATTGACCTGGTATAATGTTTGTAGAGTATAAAAACGTAGGTCCATAAAATCTTACCGCAATTTTAAGCTTTTACTAAGCACTTAAAATATTTCGGAACAAGAGTAATTTTACTTGGTAGTACTTTATACTACTTAGTAGTAAAAAGTGAGACATGTTTTTATGACGATGGTAGTAAGTAAAAACAACGAACTTTTAAGCTGTTAAGGAATTTGGCTCTTATGTAAACCTAATTATCGTAGCTCAGTTACCTTTTAAAATCAGGTATTAGCTAAGGAGGATTTGATTTTGTGTTAGGAGCACCTGGGTTTGTGGCTGATCCCAAGAGAATAATCGAAGGAAAAGGAGGCGATGAAGGAAATAAAGATCCAGAAACCCAAGAAGAAAAGGACAAAAAGGAAAAAGATGAAAGAGTAAAGAATGATCAAGAAAATGGAGGAAAAGAAGACAACAAAACTGAAGACAAACCGAAGGATATCGCTGAATCATCAAGTAATAAACTCAAAGAAAATAATCATAAGCCAACACCCCAAACGAAAAAACAATCGTTCATTATGCGTGTCCTTCAGCGAGTCTGGAGTGTTATCTCATTTCCTATCAAAGAAATCTGGTACTTTTACAAAATCGTCACCCTCAACAGAAAGCCTAGGAGACCAAGACAGTAGTTTTCCGTTAATCTTACCATGCTATTCTTGTATTAGACTTGTTATTAGATAAGTTACATACAAGTACACTCTTTGGACATATCTAAACGTTTATTCTTATGAGCGTTAAGACTCTTTATCTCCTTTCTAGTCACTGTAGTTACTGTAGTTTTTACTGTATTACTATCATTAATACTTTCCCTGAAATGGCGACCATACGAAGGTGGGTATTTTAAGCCAAATATTAATGGAGATGAGTGTAGCATAGTGGCACGATCTTGGAGTCATACTGAATAAGACCAAGACTGATCCTTATACAAGTATTAATTAATAATGTATTAATTAATAGCCTATACAGCCAATGTCAACTAAGGGACCTAATGTTTATAGTGGAATACGAAGCAAATTTTTTCCTTATTATTTATGAATTGGTCTACTTATTAGGATAGTACTGCGGGTAGTTGTAGTGCTCATGCTAGTGCGGAGGTTATTTCACTGCCTTATATGCTCATAGAACCCCCGCCCGCAGGATCAAATCTGGAAACTTAAATAATGTAGCAGCTGATGCATGTTCAATATTTCAAATTTGATTAAATACAGCTCTGAAGTTTGTGTCCTTAGGAAACCGGGAGTTGGGGTTTACAAAAAATATATATACTTTCCAGATTATTTTCAAATCAAGGCCCTTCATTCAAGGATGTGGTTGATAGGTGTGCGGCTCTCAAACAGCATCGGTATTCTCAAAAGCTTGCGTTTCGTATTAAATTTTATATAGATTAATTTTGTTTCTAATACTGTATGAACATTATTAGGATATAAGATTCTTAATGAAATAAAACCGCTTAGTAACATTGTTTGTATAGAGGTATGTTTACAAAAAAGCAATGTATAGATTAATCAATCGCTGTTGGACAACGTGGAAGACAACGCATTTTGGAATTATAATATCTTGGTTAACGAATGTTATATAAGAAACAGACAACACAATATATATGAATATATGGAAATATGAATGGTTATTATAGGATAATTAGAACCAGTGAACCTGGCGCACGGAGTCGTGCGCAATCTAGACCTAGTAGAAGAAGATCTTTGTATTATCCTTTTTATTTGATGTTTGAGATCAATCAACTTTAACATAAAATGATTCTTTTGGATTTGATTAGACTTTGCATACACTAGAATGTTAATTTTTGTTGATTTAAAAGTAAAATGGTACCATGCGTGCACCACGTGTGTATCGATATGTACGTGTGCCAGGGGTGCACCACGTGTCTATCACACGACCAAAGCGTAGTTTTTTTTTTTAACTACTCCAACAAAGATATCGTCCCTGATCAACACTGATGTTCACGGCAAACGAAGGAATGACTGGGAACCGAATTCTTCCAAGAGCAAAAGAGAGCAAAGGAAGGATATAATTGAATGGTCGCAGTTTCATCCTAGGAATCAGTCGATGAGCCTGTTAACACACTCGATAGTGATGCGATACTTTAGTTTCATACGCATTCGCGTTCATTAATTCATCCCTTTCAACGTATCAAGATTCCACATCAACATAAAAGTGGTGTGTTCCTTGAGCTTGAGTATATGTGAGGGGGTAGACTGCTGACAGAGAGTTGGTTACGGAATCCAGTCAAATAACTATTTTCCCCACTCTGTAACTATCTTATCGCTGCTTAAATGTCAATGATACTGGTGAGGAATATTGTCCATGATGGTGCTACAGTGTTAATATCTACAGTTATCATTTTTAACACAAAAAAGGTATGGTCAATTATGCCATTGCTCTTACTGATTGCATACCTGTTCTCGTAAATATCAGCAACATGATTATCCGAACCAATTAGATTTTTTGATAACACAATAATATTAAAACCGAATTTTGGGTGAGTTTCCAGCATCCCATCCCCGAGACTCTGAAAAAGGCATGTATTATACAGGGTGAATAAAAAGTCAAGACCCCCCCATCTAATATTTTTCCAAGTAAATATACAGAGATATCCTTTTGGGGGTCGTGCAATCTTAACAGAAAGTTTCATTTTATGATTTTGAAATTTTTGAGTGTCCCCCCAAAAGGGGGGATTTGGGGGGTAACTCAAATATTTTAAATGTAAACCCCCTTCAAGTGACTCCTCGTTTTGAAGTGTTTACAAAAACTTAAAGAATGGTGAAAACCAGAGTTCGCTATCTCATCTCTATCCAAAATGGTGTCCAATGTTACCATTACGAACCAATTTTACCATTGATTTTCCACAACATTTGACGGGCTACCATTTTGGATAGAGAAGAGATAGCGACCTTTAGTTTTCACAATTCTTTAAGTTTTTGTAAACACTTCAAAATGAGGTGTCACTTGAAGGGGGTTTACATTTAAAATATTTGAGTTACCCCCTAAATCCCCCCTTTTCGGGGGACACTAAAAAATTTCAAAATCATAAAATGAAACTTCCTGCTAAGATTGCACGACCCCCAAAAGGATATCTCTGTATATTTACTTGGAAAAATATTAGATGGGGGGGGGGGTCTTGACTTTTTATTCACCCTGTATAATCCGTAATATAGGCACCACCATCGTGTTAAAATCGTTAACATCTGTTGATGCCACGGAGACACAATCATCGTCCCCTGAGTTCGTGGAACCATCGTGAACAATTCCTTCGATCGTGGAGACTTTATCATCGTCACTCACGATGCCGCAAAGTTGCTGATGGTTGGAACAAATCCTGTCCCGGGAAAATCCCAAATTAAATGTAATCCCCTCATGAAGTTGAAAATTATATGTTTACAGAAAATTTAATGAAAAGTTGAGACCCATCTACCCCTAGCTATTAGATATAATCAAACATTCTTACCAATGATGGAAAACATGTTTAAAACCAATATAAATAATTTCTGATTATTATTATTGAGCTCCTATTATAAATAATATTATAGCAGAATGTAGGCGCCATCCCTAAAAATAGATGAAACTCGATTATAACAAAATGTTTCTTTGACGTTTATATCCTCCACTCATTAAATAATATCCCGTAATTTAGTTTCAGTAAAACAAAGATCTTAAAACACACAATAAATAGTGTAACTACCTTATCTACACTTTTAATTTCATTCAACCTTTAAAACAGTGTTAGGCAGTAAAACACCAATTCTTTCAACTAATCGTGCCACGACTTATCCAACGTCACCTTAAACATGGTGATCCGATACGTGGCAGCTTCAAAACGCATATCACAAAATTCATGTTGACCTATTAAATATATAGATTATTTCAAACAATAATAACATATTTTTGTTAGTAGTATTTTAAATCTACCTCTAAAACCGTCCCAATGTTCGGATGATCAACATACTTATACAATTATATTTCGTTGAAGCACGTAGCAAATGTAAGAGTAGCTGTTACTGTGCACATGTAACCTTGAGCAAGCATTTAAATTGTTCACTCTATATGGTGTGAACAGACGCTGAATTCACATAAGTTCAACTAGATGGTTAGTTAGAACTTTATTGTTGGTTAAAGCTGTTATCTTATAAATTAAAATAGGCTTAAAAATAAGCACAACAATTTATTTAAAATTCAAACAAAATAACATGGGCCTTACGTGTTGCTATGCTGGTGACGAAATAACAACGAAATATAAAGAGAAAATAAAAAAAAATGGAAGAATTTCCAATTACATTTTATTTACAGCGTTGGATGAAAGTAGAGAAGGCTGTACATTAGATATTTTTGGTCGACTTTTCGACCACTGGACGACCTCTAGTATATATTTAAAAGACAGCTACTTGACTTTGAAATTTCTCCGATAATTGTAGTGGAACAATAATCTACCGTTCTACACAGCAAATGTTTGTATAATCAAGAATTACCGCATTATTTATAATATAATAATAGCAAAGATCAGAGATGATCAGAAAGATCTCTACATGTAAGGATTTTCAAGGTTATGTTATTATTCAAGGTTATTTCATGCGGATACTTCACTTATATCATACGACGGTTTGTTTAAAGATAAAATAGTTTTACGAATGTGCTCATCCTATGGGTTGTATATCCTATACCATATTTGAAGTAGGTTTGTGTTCACAATGATCTCAAAAATTTCTCCAACAATTTTCTCTAAATTATTGAAAATTAATATTTTAGTTTTAGGCTAAAAATAAGAATCATGATCATTCTGGAAATAATCGTATTTAAATATTAAAAATGCCAAATACAATTTTAATATTCGTAACATTACGAGGTGTTGAGTGGCACTTTTGTTTTTTAATTTAAACAAAAAAAATCTTAGGCCTTATTGTAAAACAAGCCATCAACAGTATTCTGGTAAATTATCAAATACAGTACACATTAAAAGTATATACAGATGAATTCCATGGAGTACGTTATTAACTTGGATTAAATTACTGAGCAATTGTATGAATACTACTGTTGAAATAGGTACCTAGATTATTTTAAAGCTAAACTATGTACATTAATATTGAACTAAAATCATGAGAAAAATCACCCGTAGATGTTGTAGATTCTGACACTCCGCGACGTTCCACAATCCCATTGTTGTGACTTTTGGGCTTTTGGCGATCCCAGTCGCAGCAATGTTGGTCAAAAGATGTTCATCGTGAGATTTTTGTTGGGTTATTGAACACATTTTCGATTGCTTGCCCGAATAAAGCGAACAAACAAGAGATTATTTTCTAATTGCGTTAATCGAAACAAACTGAAAATTAAGATGGTTTACAGGTAAAACCAATAATTGAGATTGTCTTTATAGTGAGCTATACTTCCATATTGGTAAATACGGTAAAGCCTATTTAGCAAAAAAATGAATGATATGTCAGCTTTTCACTCAAACCTTAAAATTTGGTATTGACTCTTAATTATTCGGTCGAAAACCATGTCTTTGAGTATTTAGAGTATAAATGTAACAATTTTGTATTTTTCTTGTTCCTTTACATAGTACATAAGAATAGTATTTTTATGAATATTTTCGAGTTTGAGATTTCCCTCTAGGGTGGCTTACCACAAGAATTTACTATGATTAGTATAAGTGTGTTTAGTTCAATCAGAATTTATGGCTGGACCCAGGGAAAGGAAATACCTTTCCTTTTTGGGCTTCACCGACAGAAAATAAACGGAAAATAGAACGGATATCAGCACGACATCCCTAATAGAATGAAAAACCAAATGTGTATTCAAGGGGAACTAGATAAATGTTTAACGGTATTTCAGGCAGATCTTTCATTTAAAAAATCCCAAGGCAGATGAGTAAAAACATAACACAAACTAACTCCAACACAAACAACGGGAATCTTAGATGCTACCAGACAACGGCTTTCAAACGTTTAAAAACATACTTAACACTCATCGTTGCTACGGTTTTCTAATCGTAACATTATTGCTGGATTATCGTTAACAAATAAACAGGGAATAAGGAAGAGGTAATATGGTAAGTATTTTATTATCAATTTCTAATTAAGGATCAAACTATATGATATATGAGAAGAAAGCTTTTCATCGTAATTATTATTTTTATATCTACATATATATTTAACAACAAATATATATTATATATATATATATACATTATATTTACATATACATATATATATATTTTAATATATATTTTACAATTATATATTAGTCAACCGTTCTATCTGTTAGAGTCTTACAGTTAGGAGATTAGAAAAAAATGTAATTTGGAACAACATTTTTAACTTATTTAAATTTGTCTAATGGCAAGTTATTCGCAATCGGCTTGGAGCATAAATCTACTAAAACTACTTGCAAACTTACAAAGCATTGTTTAAAAATAGCTATGTACAAAAATAAACTATTCTAGTGACGGATATAAATTAATTGACAATTAATTATTAGTTTATTTGTAAAGGATACACTATCAGAAACTGAAAATAGGTTTAATATTTTCATATTCGTGTCACAAAAGATTTATTCGTCCTCCCCACAGCATAGGACTATAAAGTTATAGTTGTTAACCATGTTGCAATGTTGAGCAGAAGTTAAGCTAGTGGCGCAACGTAACATCAATATCACGTGGACTAATTGTACCACATTTTCTGCCAAATAATTAAAATAGTGTGTAAGACACAAGTGTGCCAGTTGACGATATTCAACGGACCATGATGTTGCGTTTTGTAGCAACCATAGCTGTTGCTATATTGGTGTTTCAGGTACATTACATTATTGCTTCTAAAACACAATAGCAAAAAGTTTGGACATTTTTATATTTTGCGATATTTTACATTACCATATAAGTATTTTTAAAGAAAAAAAAAATAGATTAACTCTCGTAGACCAAAGATAACACGATTTTAGTTTTTTTTTATTTTGAAAGTAAAAAAAACTAAAGCAATTAGATTTTAAAAATATTCAACGGTGAATATTTAATATTCAATAGAAATATTCAATCCCTTAGAAAGATAGATGAAATAACTTGAACTAATCTTAAGCTATTGTCCTTACATATTTTAATATTTTTCACAGTTAATTTATTTCCAAAACCAACAAATGTAAAGTTTTAGGAATCAACGATAAAGTTATTAATTTTAATACCTAAAATGGTTAACTAAAAACATCAACAAAAATCTTTAAAATTATTTCAAAAAAATAAATTTGTCATGTGTTTTGCTTAAAAAGATATTTCATAATAATTGTAAAAGGTATTGTGACACCTTTTGCAATTATAGTGTTACCAAACCTTATAAATATTTTTATGGCTGACCCATTTAAACTCATAAACTATGGGAATAGTAACAATAGTAATGTAGATAGTTAATACCATACATTTTTGACAGTTTTTTAAAGGTTCAAATGACTTGGGAAGACAAACAGAAATAATAATGTAGTTAATCAATTCTTGCAGAATTAATTAATTAGTTGTAAACTGTACGTCTTGTTACACTTCAAATATATTTTTAGACTTACGTACACTAATGGCTACCCCCGTTACGATCAGTTTTGACATTTACACATGTTCATCATACTTAACAGAAAATACGTAATGTATAATAAAATCGATATTATAGCTCAAGAACTTATTTCATTACAAAATTGGCTTCCTTACTTATGTCTGGTGTTACAAAATGACAAATATTGATGCTGTATACTTTCGTTGTAGCAAATGTTTTTCAAAGATTGAAGCATATTAAAGAACATAAAAAATAATCACACGAAACACGACATAACTCCTTCAATATTTATTTCAGTCATTTGGAAACGTTGCCACTTGCGGCGAAACTTATTCTTGTTTTATTATTATTGTTTGACTTTATATACATCGTACGTAACTAGTCAGTATGTAAGATAAATACTGACGATAAATAGCCATACAAATTGCATGTTGTTAGAGCAAATTTGGACTGCGGATGGAGAAAAAGATTGTCAAAAGACTTTGTCAAAGGACATAAATGAATAAACCGAAATAATAAATTAAAATCCAATACCCCCACCGCAGCAAACCTGTCGACTAAGCGAATTTCCATTTCCCTGAATGATTTTCAATTGAATTTATTTAGGTTTAACGAGTACCTAGGTTTGCTGCCACAAGGAAACTGAAACTAATAAAGTGTGTTTTAGTAAAATATTAATAGCTTAGTATAAAATAAATAAATTTACCTAGTTTGATCAAAATATATCCATAAACAAACAAACTACAACATTTTCAATATTCTCCATAAGAATAACATAGGAATTTTTAATTTAAAATTTTTCGAATTTTCTCCGTTACCAATAACCGTACAAAAACACTTTGATATACTAAATTATTTGTTTTTTAAGGTCTTTAATGTGGTCTAGAGATAAATTAGGAATTTTTGTGTTTTTGGGGTCAAAAATTAGAAAAACCAATTTTTATTCCATAAAACCCACCGGGAAACCCCGTTTCCATGGTCCGATCATGTTGGTTCGCGAACTCATTCAAGTTTATCTTGCCTTACACCTTCAAACCAAATTTCATCAAAATCGGACAAAAATTACTCAAGTTATCGCGTTCACGGACACATATATATATATATAAATCTATATAAAAATCTATATATATATATATATATACATATATAAAAATTTGAACGAATGGTGTTTTTGGCCTCTGGGGACATCAAAATGAAAAAGTAAATCGGTCCCGGGCCTAGGTTTTACCGTGCCACCTACGGTAATAGCTACTTCCCTATAGGGAAATTCGCTAAAATCTAATACCCATTTTTTATGTTGTTAACTTGTATGAAAGCTTGCAATACTTTTTAATAATGTCCGTACAATTATATAGAAATACTTGATCTCTTTAAAGTATTTTAAATTTAAAAAAAAGACGTCATATTTTAACTATTTATGAATTTGTTGGTAAGTAATCTATCTATATATTAATAGGCAAGCATGTTTCTTTAAAACCTTTTTTCTCAGCTCGTGTGCATCGTAGGGAAAATCTACGCATACCGTTGGAAAGCTATTTTCCTGTAGGTGTGCAGAATCCCTTTATAAATTTAAATAGGCTCAAAGATAAGCACAAAAAATGAGTTTAAAAATTTGAAAAAATTAACATGGATCTTATGCGTTGCTATGCTGGTTACGAAATAACAACGAAATATAAACAGAAAATCAAAACAAATGGAGGAAACTCCAATCACATGTTTTATTTACAGTGTGGGGTGAAAATAGATAAGTGAGTACATTACATATTTTTGGTCGAGTTTCGACCACTGGACGACCTCTCGTATTTATAATTAGCCTATAGCCTGTAAGAAACAATGTGTTCATATACAGATAATATTGTTGGGTGATTATGCAGAAATTTTGTCTTTAATCGCAACGCAAATTGAAAGTGCTGTGAAATTGTGTTTAAACACATTAATAACGCCTACTAAGATATACTTAATTATAAAACATAATATTTTTTAAAACCTACTGCCTTTACAAACAGATTGTTGTATCACCTAACCATTTTTCTTTTGTGAAAACATCCTCATAGAACTTTATTATGTTTTCAGTCATAATCATCATCGTAAAAAAAGGGTTTTAAAGTTAAATGTGTTGCCGGACTGAAAACTACTCAGTTGAAAAGAAATTCAAAACAATTTGTCATCTAAAGAATTGTATATTTGCAGTTCTTAGCAAGATTCCACCCAATGTTGTTTCGTATATTGAATGTTTTTGAAAATCCACGACTCCTCGTTTAGACTCGTATTTTTTTGTTTTGTACATTTGTTTTCAAAAGATACCACGTGTAGATCCACACATTTGAAACTAATTTTGGACTTGATTTTCATAGTTTATAGATGTGACAGATGGGAAGAACTCTGATCTGAGAGGAAGTGAAGACAATGAGTTCAACCTTTTGAATGAACAGGGTATGTATTTTATCATGTTTTTAGATCTAATAAGGAATAATGTCGTGTAGTATTTACCACTAGGCCTACAGATATTATTTTAAAATACACGCTATAATCGCAGTAATTGGGTTGACTATTTATTATATTTTAGGAAATTCAAAACATTACCAAGTTTTATACAAGGGTGTTCCTTAAAGGTGGGAACATAATTTAAGTAGTGGTTTCTTGGACAACAAAGAGAAAATCAAGAACAAATTTTTTTCTAAAATCTCTTCGTTAACCAGATATCTGGCATTTTGTATTTTTTACATAATCTTTTTATCTTTAAATTTCTTCAACCTAGGCCTACAATTGAGTTTGGATACTGCAAATAGACCTTCCATTTACGTGAACTAGACTTACAATAAATGCAGAATAGGTACTGCAAATATGAATTCCATTGATGTGAGCCAAAGATACCATTGTGGTTGGATACTACAAGTAGACTTTCCATTGACGTGAACCAGACGTAGATTGACTTTGGATACTGCAAATAGGCACTCCATTTATGTGAATCAAATGAACCATTGATTTAAAATATTGCAAGTAGACAAATCATTTTCATGAACCAGACGTACGATTGGATTTAGAACCTCTAAATAGGCATTTCAATTAAGTGAAGCAGGCGTTAGTTTGGCTTTGGATACTGCAAATAGGTATTCTATTTAGGTAAACCAAGTACTTACAAGTATTGACATTGGATACTGCAAGTAGACATTTAATTTATGAGAACCAGATGAAACAGACTTTGGTTCCTGCAAGTAGACAATTCATTTACGTGAACCAGACTTTTAATTGACTTTGGATACTGCAAAAAGACATTCCATTTATGTGAACCAAGTATATAAAGTATTCCAAGTGTATAAAGTATATAAAGTGAACCAAGAAAATAGTATTCCATTGACAATGAATACTACAAGTATATATCTCATTCACGAGAAAAAGAGGTAGCGTTGACTTTAGAAAAGTATTGGATTAATACGCTAGCTCCGCTCAATATTGCAAGCAGATAACTGCATTGTAGACCTAGATATATTTTACTTAGCCCTCTCCCATGAAAAACTAATCCCTGAAGTACTGAGTCATTTCAAGTAAACTAATTACATCTAGGGGTTTTAATTGGCACAAATCTATTATCGTATGCTAAATCCCAATGAAAAACAGACAGAATCTCAATTTCCTTAAAATCAGTAACAAAAAAGCGAACAATCGTTGTCACAAACCATTTTGAAAGGAATATGATTTTGTTTATATCATATTTTTATCTGAGTCAATAGTGAGCGTATAAGTCAAACAATGGGTTCAATCACTAGAAGGGAGAAATATTCTGTGCGAGTAGCACTTAAACTTAGGCAAGATCATAAAAATGTATCTTTTTTCATTGCATACTGTAAAATTACAGAGTTGTTATTATTTCAGCGATCAAATGTCTATAGTTTGTAATTAAAATGTTTTTCGTAAATTGTAAAGCGTTGTTAACGATATTGTTTTACCTATTAAAGCTGATTATCCACAACCGATGAAGACATGCTCCTTGAATACCGGTAATGAGAAATCTAAGTACACGCCTAAGGTTCTAAAACAATTTTTGTTTTAGGTGAAGGGTTTGCGGCCGGTACCGAACGGGTTATTGAGGTGAAAGATGACAAGACAAAAGTCAAACCAGCAGCGACCGTTCATCAGGATGGCTTTATCAAACGTTTCTTCAAGAGGATCTGGTCCATTGTATCCTGGCCATTTAAAGAAGCGTACGTATGGTTCAAGATAAAGAGAACCAGCGCCAAGGTCGCTAAAACAAAATCACTTAAAATCCCAAACTAGATTCCAGCAATGGTTAAGAATTCGTCTTGGGATTGTTTGCTAAAAAACAAATGAAACATGAATAAAACATTGTTTATAATATTCACTAGTGCTTATTGAACCTTATGTTTGGGTTGTTTGATTACTTTTCTTATTTTTAGTCAGGTGTAACAGAAGTCCTCAAGGCCCTAAAACATGATTTATCAATAAATAGTCTATATTTATTTTTCGTATTGTATATTTTTTGTGGTTTGGCTAGAGTTTGAAATTATATATGTTGTGATTATACAAAAACAAACCAAATGTGGTGCAATCTTTCAAAATAATGGACAAAAGATATTTGCATTATGATATACATACAAATTTTACATTTCCATAAGCTTTAGTGAGTAGAAACACATCCATTGAATGCTTAAACTACGTATTTGATACATGCAATATGGTAAACTTTAATTTCTTTTCAAAAAGAACTGATTCCATGTTTGTAATTCATAAAAAAGTGCACTTGTAAATACTATTTGTTTAGAGTATAAAAATTTTAATATAAAATCATACATTTGTTAGAAATTGGAAAATTAATATTATTTCCAATTATAATACTTTTTAATGTAATTTGTTGTAGTTTAAAAAGATTTACATGGTTGCAGCGTTGCCGTAATGCTCAGTACAAAGAGATTCTATTTAAAGTGGGCAAGCTAGATTTAATTTGCATTGTGAACCTCCTTAGTATTTTAATGCCTTTCTGATGCCAAAGCTCCCCACAACGAAGTTTTATGAGTATATCTAAAGTAATAAGGGACTGAATTAAACATAATTATAATTTTATTTTACTGGACAAAAATTAAGTTAATTGACCTAGCTTTTCATACGATAATAATGAACAGATTTAAATAAAAAGTAAAACAACCAAATGACTAAAACGCAATGGTTTTGTGATTTATTTAGACGATATATGATAACTTACATATTTATTTTCCGTATATCAGGCAAAATAATTATACACGAATATTGCTCTTAATGGTTAGAGATTATCCATAAATATTTGAACGTTGTAAGGTGGAGGCTGACAAAAGAGGTATCCAGTCCTAGATTCTACAGTTAATTAGATTGATTGTTGATTATACTCTTTTTACCTGTATCCGTATACAGAAAGGAGTGGTAGCTTATAAAAAAAAATTAATAGCTTTACCGACTATCATGGGGTAGGAAGGGGATGGCCGCGAAAGAAAGTATCGAAGAATCGAGCCATAAATAGCCCAAAAGTCACACATTGCACAAGCAATCAGCAAGTAAGGAATTAATAAAAACGGATTGTGCAGAGTGTCAGTGGATATTTTGAGACATACAGAACAAAAAGAAGAATCAATACCATCACCGCAGCAAACCTGCAGACTAAGCGAATTCCCATTTACCTGGCATTTTTTTGGCTGGATTTCTACTAAAATATTTCCTAAGGATTGTCAGATTTACTTCCTATTTAAATAACATTAATTTCAGTGAGTACCTAGGTTTTCTGCTACAGCGAAGATATTGAGATGTGTTTTTTTTTTATTGCAATGTCGATATCTTAGTATTATATAAACAAAATTTCAAAATTTTGTTTATATATATCTATAAACAAGCAAACGACAACAGTTTTTTTTATAACAAGGGATTGTTTTTATTTATAATTTTTAAACTATCTCCGTAACCGTTAGGCATACAACAACGCTTCAATATACAAAATTATTTATTTTTTAAGCTCTATAAAATGGCTTGGAAAGAAATTGTGAAATTTTGTGTTTTAGCGTCAAAAATAAGAAAAACCATTTTATACCACATAAAATCCCCCATGAACCCCGTTTCATAGCCCGATCATGCTGGTTCGCGAACTCTTTCAAATAAACTTAGGTTTAGACGATTGTACCAAATTTCATCAAAATCGGATCATTTTTGCTCGATTTATCGTGCTTACGGACATACACATAAATATATATGTATATATGAATTTGAACGGATGGTGTTTTTGGCCTCTGGTTACCTCAAAACGAAAAAGTAAATCGGTCTCAGGTCTAGGTCTTACCATGAGACCTGCGGTAATAGCTTATTCCCTATATGGGAAATTCGGTAAAAGGGTGGCTTCTCACACCAGAGATACTAATCTAGCCACTAATACTACCGGGTTTATTTGCATTGGTGCATCACTACAATCACTAGGGAACACTCACAATCACTAGGTTCAGTACAATAGAAACAACAGTCCATGATTTGGATAATGTCAAATGAACAAGTATGTCTGGCAAGCCTATGGCTGTTTTTACGACGGCACCTTTTTTAGGTTTTTTCTAACCGATATTCACCCCACTGAATAGAAGAGGCTATAATCATACATAAAGACATGATCGTAGTTGTTTGGGGTCCTAAAACAACCGTCCCAGTGAGATTATGGGTGTGTGTTATTTTAATTAAAATTCTCATCTTAAAACATTTGCATTTTCTTTCATAATAAAAAATTATTTAGTAATAGCCTACTTTGTCCTACTAACATAACTATACAACTTAAACTACGTAATGACTTTAAGACTAAGCAGCTAGCTTAAGATGCAAAAACAAATACCTTGTAAATTTTATATAACATTGAACATTTTCCATTAACGCGTAAAAACATTCACCTCAACAGTTGGCCCATTAGCTTAAATTCTTGATAATAATTAAACTCTTGCACAACGATGAAACAGTTGAAACATTAGTCATGCAATTCAAGAGCGGCTGTTGGCATGTAAAATTTATTACGGGGTAAATTAAACTCAGACCAAGTGTTGTTAGCTTTCATTTCAAGAACCTCAGCAAGCGGCGGAGTTAAGATTTTAGTTACATTAATCTCAAAGTAACTTTTATTTGCTGTAATATTATTGAAACACATTTTACTTGTGTATAAAAAAGAACCGGGGGGCCGAGCCTTGCTTGGTTGTGGTCAATTTGGTTTAATCGTTAAACATAGTCGTATTATTTACGACACATTTTATAATTTACAACAAATATTTTTTATTACAATCCATATACATTTGATTGCTGATTAAATGCTCTGAATGTAAAATCATGTAACTTGTGATGATAAAAAAAATAAATCTAAACAGCTTCCTACATAAAACCGCGTAAACCTTATTACTTAAACCTACGTTCATTATTACCATGTATAAAATAATACATTTACAGGCACGAAACTAATACACTATACAAATTAATGTACCACTTTGAAAATATTGAATACACCTATTTGCAAATCGTCATCTGCATTACAGCTCCATTTAAAGTGTAGTAGCGGTGTCTTATTGGTGGGAATATAAACAGCTGATTACTGTCACCGCCATCTGACATGACGTCAGTGTAAAGTTCTGAACTAACACCGCACCTTCAGATATGGTGATTTTACCGACGCTTTTAGGTGGTATAGTAGTTTACGCAACGATTACGTTAAGTTAGTCTTTACGACACGACTAGAAAATTTAAGGCACGAGCCTTGGCGAGTGCCTTAAAAACTTCTACGAGTGTCGTAAAGACTATTAACGCGAGTTGCGTACACTACTTTACCTACGACCGTTTTTTAATTACTAAAAATCTGGTTTTTTATTACTAACAATCACTACTCATAACTTCCTAGAGAGGTTATGTTTTAGTTTATTGTCATTGTCACTGAAAGTGATGCAACGACTTATTGTATAATCAGCTGATTTCATGTGTTTGTAAAACTTTGTTAAATAATACGTTACTTTTTCAGGCAATAGGTTCTGCTAGCAGCATTCTTACCATAAATACTGTATAAGGTACAATTAGGGAAATATTTCATATATTTTTTGACAACTGAATAATATAGTGAAACAGTTAATTTACAGTTAGATCTCAGCATCGAATCCACAACGAGTTGGGTTAAAAGTGGTTAAGAGGTTTTCAAAATAAACCAGAAGAACATTTACATTTATCAATTTAACCTTATTTTGTTTCGTCCATTTAATGAATTGCTGGTATGTAATCGCATATGGTACCTTTGTTTTGATTTTGGTGGCAAAAGATTAGCACAAACAGTTTGTGCTCTCATTTCTATCTCGTCAACATCACTTTCACTAACTGATATTTTAAAATCAACCTTCATTTAACTTACACCAACTTAGGTTAAGAATACGCGAGTATCAACAGGAACAAACCGGATCAACAATTAAAATTGTCAACTGACCAGCTGATCAGCTGATTAGTTGACGTTCGAAGTATTACAATTGTACTTCTTTTCTCTCAATCCTTGAACCTCATTGGTCCGTTACCCGTGTTGATATGAGAAAAACTATTCTGATATGAAATGAAACTATGCTGATATGAAAGTAAAACAGCTGTTAAGTGAAACTTTTCAATTTTAAGAACTGAACTGAAATGGCTACTTTAAAAAACGGTCGTAGGTAAAATACATTTCCTACTTGCTTTATAGTTTTTATTTGTGAATATATTTAGTTAACTCAGTAAACAAAGTAGACGCAACTTGAGCCATTATATCTATTCAACCCTAAAAATATTGGTGCTTGATTGTTTTATAACGGTAATTTCGGCTTATATAATATCTCTGTTCAGTTACATCCCCACTTTAGTGTATGTAATGTATAATACGTCAGAGGTATTATTTACGCTTTTATTTATTTGACGGACAAACCATTACATACAGGATACAATTTTTGTAATACAACTATTGATCGAGTTGATGAGTGATGACCAAATAACAACAAAAGTGCAAACATAACGATAACAAAAATAGCTAGGAGTAACTAGGAGTAGATCGAAACCTAAGCGTGATTCATATTGAACATTCCCCTTCTGTTAGAAAGCCCAGGATCAAACAAACCACCTACGTATTTAAAAGTCTTAAACACGTAAGAAAATTTGTTTATATCAGTTAAGTTCCATCCTACGAAAACTGAGATAGTTTTTTTTTCAAATGATGTAGTAATAGATTAAACTAAATTTGGCACACACCCAAAAATGTTTAGAGTAGATGATTGTATATCAGTTATTGGTTCTTATTCGCTGAGCCACGGGCTGAGTACGGAATGCCTTGCCAAACTTTAATTAACAGCCTAAAA